GGGCCCTCCTCCTCCCCACAACACTCTTGGTAAACGTGGGACACGACGGGCGCGCCTGTTCTGAACCAAACCGTGGGTTTCATCTAAGCGGTTTTTTGGGGTTTGGGGGGGGGGGGGGAAGGGGGCCGGGCTGCTCTACAAGGTCCTGAGCAGTGGTGTCTCCCAGCCCTCCTGCCTGGGGGAGACACGTTTCTCAGGGATGGATCTGAGACCTTCCGTGGGCAGTTTGCGCTGTTCTACCGCCGTCCTTAGCCTTGCCCCGAGTGGATTCGCTCTGCTCAATGCAGTTTGGCTTCTTCTGTGCTGGAGCCCTCCCGGTGGGCTGGGGGGATATTGTGTGAGTTTCTGCTGCCCGTGTGGGCTGGGGTGGGTGGGTGGGTGGGCAGCTGGCAGTTGCCGGAGGAGCCGGGGAGGCAGGCAAGAGTGACAGGCCCATGGTGGCTGCATGTCGGTTCTGTGGTGGCGCACGGCTGAGGGCTTTTATTTTTAAACTGTGATTTGGAATTCAGCGTTTCATCACCTCTACTTTTTATATAACAGGACGTGTGTCTGCAGTGCAAATATCTGGGGCTTTTGGAAAGTCTTCTGTGGGCTCTGCATTAGCTCTCTTAGCATATTCATTTGCCTTTGCATCCCTGCAGCCTTTGGCAAGCGTGTGTGTGTGGGGGGGGTTGGTTTGGCTCATGGGCAGTCGGCAGCGGTTCTTTTTACCATTCTTCTGCCTGTGCCAAGGTGAGGGCAGGTTTGCAGGGCCTGAAGGGTACTTTGCGGTCAGCTGTGAACACATCATAAACTGTGCCCATTTCACAGACGCTTGGGGGTGGAGCTGGCAAAAATTCTTAGGTTCTCAGTGGGATTTTGGTGTAGTGGGAGTTTGGTGTAGTGGTTAAGTGCGCGGACTCTAATCTGGGAAAACTGGGTTTGAGTCCCCACTCCTCCACTCGCAGCTGCTGGATGACCTTGGGCAAGCCATGGTTCTGACAAGAGCTGTTCTGGAAAAAGAGCAGTTTCTGTCAGAGCTCTCTCAGCCCCACCCGCCTCACAGGGGGTGTCTGTTGTGGGGAGGGGAAGGGAGAGGAGTTTGTGAGCTGCTCTGAGACTCCAAGTGAGGGGGGGTATAAATCCAATCTCCTCCTCCTCCTCCTCCTCTTCTTCATTAAAAAGTGGTCCATTTTCATCCACCCAAATGCGCAGTCTTCCCCCAAAGCTAGCAAACACAGGGCTCTGAAAGGGAAATGCTAAGGAAGGGGGGGGGGATCTACTTGTTCAATCCCTGTATCCCGCCCCTTCTTCAAGGAGCTCCCGGTGACACGCGTCCTCTTCCCTTCTCCGTGTTGCCCTCTCAGCTGCCCCCCCGGGGGGGTGTTCTGGAGCTGGAGGGGGGCAGTGGGGGCTCAAGAGAGAGAGCGTGGCCTTCCATGACACGAGTGGTTTCTTCTGACCGGCGTCTCCCAGGCCCTGGTCCAACATTCCGGCCCAGAGAAGGGGGTGAAGAGGAGACACGCTGGTGCTTGTAACTAAGCAGGTGTGGAACCAACACTGAGCTTAGACAAAGGCGGTGCGTGCCGGGAGATTTGTGCCTTTAACGCGGGGGGGGGGGCGTGCAGGGGTGTGAGGGGTGCCATTGGCAAATGGCATGACGCCACGTCTGGCTTTGCCATCCAGTGTCCAGTGATTCCTAGAGTGGAGTGATGTAGCACCATTGAGCCAATAGTGATTTACGTGCATTTTTCCCCTCCTCCCGAAGGGCGCAGGAGCAGTCGTGGGCAAAGCAGATAAGTGGAGTTAATGCGCACTGTTCTTCCCTGGGGTGCCCGGGTGTGGCATCTAATGCCATCCTTGTGGTTCCATTTTAGAGCATCGTGTATTTGGAGCCTTGTTTTGGTCATGCTGTTTTAGATAAGGCCGGGCAATTTGAGTTCATGGGTTTGACCGCATCTGATTTTTCTCCTTAGCCAATCGTTGCCCCCCCCCCCCAAGCCAGCAGAATGCTAAATTAAAAGAAGAGGCATTTGAGAAGGATGTATTTTTAAAAGGCTTGTTTAAAACTGGGTTTCCTTTACACTCTCCTTGTCTTCCTTTGGTGTTTAAGCATGCGTGGTTGATCAGGCGGTACATGAAATTGGCCTTGAATAGACGTGGGACTTGCGGGGGCCAGTTGTCCCAATCCAGGCTGCTGGGGAGGGGGGGGATTACAGTTTTTAGAAGTTTCTCTACACTGGATATTTCTTCGTACGTGGAGACACCAGCACTGTACGTAAAAACAGCCGGGCTAAGTCCTTTCCCCACACAACGCACTGTTCTTAAAAAGCTTTTGTCAGATGTGTGACCTCCTCCCAGTCGGGAGTGGGGGGCAGCCCAGTCTACCTCCTCATTCTTCGGCCTTCTGTGTTAGAGCAGGATCCAGCAAGGAGGTGCCGAAGGACTTGCACCCTGAGATGGCTGGTCCCTGGGTTGGCCAGGAGCCTGGGGCCTGGTTTTATATATTTATTTATTTGGGAACCTATACCCCACCTTTCCCTTGTGGCTTCAGGCAGTGGGCATTTCGTGGTCCGATGAGGCTGTGGGCTATGCCGTGGAGGGCCACCCAGGACGGGCAGGAACAAGAGAAACCCAGGATGAAGAGACAAAGTAGCCCCCGGTGGTGGGCGTCAGCGCAGAGCTCCGTGCAGGCGGGCACCAGGTGAAGGCAGCAGTCTGGCCCTTGGAGAAGTAAAAGCTATTCATTATAAAAGGCAACTGAACATATAGGTGGCCTTCAGAAAGGTAGGGAGCAGAGCCCCGTCAGGCACCTTTCCTGAAGACCCACAAAGTTTTATTCAAGGTATAAGCTTTTGTGTGCCTGCCCATGAAAGCTCCTGCACAGGAAGAAAACCTTTGTGGGTCTTAAGGAAAGATGCCTGGCAGGGCTCAGACTCTGTTCTGCTGCTTCGGACCAACATGGGGACTCCCCTGAATAATGGGGGGAGGAAAATGCCCCCCGGGAGAGGAAGCCAGAGGGGGACCGGAGTGTAGGGGAGGAAGAAGCCACCCTTCCCAGGCCCAGCTGCCCAACAATGCAGCATCCAGCCGTGAAGGAGTTGGCGTGTCGGCAAACTGGGGCTGGGGGGGGGGACGGTGGCAGGCAGTGGGTCTTGCCCTTGGCCAGGCAGGCCCCTCGAAGCCCCCCCAGCCCCCGCGGAGCTGCCGCCAGCCTCTTGGGGACCCCACCTTGGGCCCAGCGGGTGGCTGTGAGGGTCTTGGAGCCAGGGTGGGGGGATGAGAGCCAGTGTAGTCATGGTGGGGGGGGGAAGAGATGAATCTTGGGGGCGGCCTTACGCAGGTGCGTGCATTTTGCGTTCATTCGGTAACTCTCTGCAGATCTGAGGTGTTTAGAGTTAATGTGTTTTGGTGTACGAAAACAATTCAAGCACTGGCAATGTTTATGGAACTGAGCATCTTTTTATGCTAATATAGATAATTAGTATAGGTTTATGTGCTGAAAATACAAATCAGAGGCAGAAGAGAAACACCGCAGGCAGTGCCAGGCCTCGTTAAAGTCGCCTGCCCCATTCTCCTGGAGCGGGGCTCTAAGTGGCTGCGAAGCCCCTTGGGTTTAGAAGAACGTGGGCCAAGGAACCCGTGTCCGCGTTGTGGAGAAGGGCTCCAGTCCAGACTTCACCCTGACAAGTTGGTTTTAACGCAGGGAACGCTGCGGCTTGGAGGGCTGTGCCAACCTGCGGTCTGCAGGCCTCCCTCAGTGGTTTCTCAGCCCATTAGCAAGGGCCAATGCATGGACAGGAGAGCTGCCAAGGCTCAAATTATGGAGGGTTTCGGCATCAGAACTGGGTTTTGTGGCTTCTGTTGGTTCACGTTGCTGGGACAAGATGTGGTGGAAGCTAAACTCTTGACGGGCGCGGGGGGGGGGCGCTGGGTCTTTGGGGTGTCGAGGCCTCTTGGCATTGCTCAGGGCTTGGGGGTAATTGGGTGAATTGTGCCTGGGGCTCCCTGCCTGGTGTAGGTTGGCAGGGGTGGGGTTTCCTTCTGCAAGAATTCTGAACCCAAAGTTGCTGTTTCTGCTAGAAAGCATCGGAATGAGAGTGGAACACTCTATATACAAATAAAGTTTTGTCTGTTTTTGTTTGTTTTTCGTGTGTCTGATATAAAATAAAATTCTTTTTGTGGGGGGGGGAAAGGAATGGCAGTGGGACACAATGAGGGGGTGAATCTGGACGCTCAGGTGGTGATGGGCTCTGGGCTCCTTTGAGCCAGTCGAGTCAGCAGGATCACGGAGCTCATCGAAAGTGTCGCATGGCTGGCTGGCTGGTTGACTGCAGGTCTCCTACCCGTAGGAGGACTGGAGAGCCTGATTCCGGGCGTTGCGGCTGGGCCGGTGGTGTCTCAGTGGGTTAGGGTCCATGACCCGCCCACCTGGAGGCCTCCCGGAATCAGGACAGATCTCCAGACGACAGAGATCCGTTCCCCCCTGGAGGAGACGGCTGCCTTGGTGGGGGGGAGGGGGCTCTACTGTGGCATCGGACACCCTGCTGAGGTCCCTTCCCTTCCCCAAACCCCGCCCTCTCCAGGTCCACCCCCCCCCGAAAAAATCCCCAGGAGTTTCCCAACCCAGAGTTGGCAGCCCCACCAGACGAGCCCCAAGTGTCACCATTCATACGGGGCCCCCGGGGGAGAGAGCGGCGTGGCTCTGACCCTCCACACTTGCCACTCTTCTGTGCCACGCTGCTGGCTGGAAAATGTCTCTCCGTTACATTCGACGCGGGGTCAGTTCCCCTTTCACTGATTTATGAGAACTTTAAGCCAGACAGCCAGACCCCAGCCTTATGGACGGAAACGAACGTTAGTCCATGTTAACTTTTAAATAGCATTAACGAGCATGGGGGTTTTCCCCATTCAGTTATTTGGTTAGGTCATGTCCAAACTGATGGGCCCTGCTTGGTCTTAGGAACTGCACGACATCTCCTGTGAAGTTAAGGCCTTTTCTTCTTTTCTTCTTTGCTCAGTTGCAGGAGACGGAGCTGTTGGATCTGACTGTTGTCAGAGATGCCAGATGTGGGAAACATGCCAGAGCTCCTAAGGTAGGAAAATGTCCCATTTACGTGCCAGATGTTATGGTGATATGTCGAGTAGAGTTTTTAATGGAATGAAGAAACAACCAGAAACTTCCTGCAGACATTGTGACCTTTGCTTTGCTTCTATTACAGAAGAGGGTTTGTTTTTTTTTTTAAATCTCTATAATTTATTTAGGAGACGTTTATGGGTTTTTTAAAAAGTGTACTTTTACAGCAAACCTATTGATTAGCACATGAAATTGAGTAAACATAATCATTATACACATCATAAACTCGACACTGTGGACACAAAATGTGGTTGACCTACTACAGATTGTCTGTTTATGCCAGCAATTGATGCGGACTCTGGAGCAAAGTCCTGGTTTTCACTGAGGTGGGCAACTGTTGCCGGGGGTTTAGCACTTCAGCGTGCAGACGGGAGCTCAGATGGTTGATGAGCCTCTATACAAATAAAGTTCTCTCCACGGAGATAGTTGGATGGCCAGGCGGGAGGAGTCTTAGCTCTTTTGAGAAGCAAGTTGTCTTGGTGAAGAGGAGCGTCCCATTGTAGCCCTCGCCCTCAGAAGTGGTATATGGCCCTGTGCAGAAATGCATTTTTCCTTTGGCGGTCTGAAATGAGCAGAACCTTCACTCTTGAGTCTGAAAAGTCCCCCCCCCTCTGGGCAGAGAACAGGCAGAGGGAGGAGGAAGACAGTTCAGTTGCTTCCCAGACATACCTCAGCCCATCTTCATACAAATGCTAACAGATATAGCAGAAGAGACACTTGGTGGGTCAAGCTCTCCCCTTTCCCCAAGCAGGGAACAGAGATTTGGGAGGAATTAAATGCTACAGAGGCTTCAGGAAGGAAAATTCTAAAGACTGCAGGAAAAACTTCACTGACCTGGCCAGGCCTGGTCAGTGGGTGGGGAACAGAGAGGTGAGAAAACTCAGGGGAGTGAGGAGGAAGTTCTCTTTCATGCTGGGTTGATCAGGATAGACAGAACTCTGAACTGAGGTCTGGAGGAGGTGACCATTTAACCATGTGGTAGCCTATAGAGCTACAGAAAGCTTCAAGGCAATGGTAACTCTGTAGAGATTTGTAACTTCCTAAGCTTTAGGAGCCTGTCCTATATTTTAACATCGGGTAGGGCATGTATAGAGAGAGGGACAGAGGACTTGTGTTTCACCCATTTCTTTTGAATCCCTTGCTCAATCTGGTGCTGTGCTAAAAGTATGCTTGTGAACATTTTCTTTTTCATACATGTTTTATAACTTTGGATGCTGGTAGTGGTTCTCTGTGCCACATAGACCTCCACTGTCTTGGACACACTATTTTAGAAGGGTTGCCGGGGGAAGGCATGCAGTTGGCAAGCAGCTATTCCTCCAGGAGCACACAAGGCAGTAAACTGTCCCTGTGGGGACCAGGTGCTGGGCAGCGGGAGACACAGAGGCATCAAGGCCTCAGATCTTGGAAGGGAAGCTGGGAGCCTTGGCCCTCCCAGTGGGCAATTCCTACAAAGGTCAGGTGGTGGTGGCGGACTACCCAAGAGAGAAAGAAAAGCCCCCCCACCCCCAGCTGCCGGGAAAACTTTGGAGGGCGGGGTGGAACAGGGCCTGCCGTCCAGAGCTGTCCCATTCCACCACAGGCCCAAACACGGGTTGACCACTGCCGTGAGGGACAAACTACAACTTGGGCTGGAGTTACCCTGAGTCAGCTCACTTTCCCTGCAGACACACAGGAGTTTGGATTCGGACTGTGGTGCTGGGGAGCAGGGGTTTTAAGAAGCAGCACTGGGGGTGGGGGGGCATTGCTTTTTGCCCCGTTGCTGTGGGACTGTGTGTGCCTTGAGCATTTCTGATGGTCAGGTGAGCCTGAAAGATCCCCAGTGGTGTGTCTGAGTCTTTGCATATCCTTGGGACAGGCTCTTCTCTCCGGCTTTCAGGGGCGCTGAAGGGCACTCTGACTGGGAGAGGAGAGTGATGCTTCCCTCAGGAGGGTATCCCACAGAGTGTTCCAAAGAATATCCAGCTATGTATATTATGGAAGCAGATGACATGCATGGAGGAGGTACGTCTGCTCAAACTAGTGTGAGTCAGTAGCTCAACTGGAACGGTGCTGTCCATGGGAAAGAAATTCTGTTAAGAAGGGGCACAATCCGCTTATCGTTCGAATCAAGCTTTTGCTCTTCCTGAATTCGTGCATGAATGTAAAACTTGCTGTGTTTAACTGAACGTACGTTCTAGACAGGGGCTCTTCTGCATTTTCAGCCTAGCCTTTAATGCTCATGAGTGCTGACCAACCTCCAAAGAGAGGGTTAGTGACACTTGTGGAAAATCCCCGGGTCTCACGGGCCACGCTCAGAGTAAACAAGTTGCCATCCTTAGGATTCTCTGAGAAAAGTGGCAGCGGCCACATGTGGCCGCCGTGTGCCTGATGACGAAGTAATTGCTTGCGGAAGAGCATTTTCTTTTCAGTGTACTTTTCCCAGGGCCCTTTTGAGCTTCGGAAGGTTATGTTGCAGCTGAAAGCCCTCGGGCCGTGGTTTATGACGTGCAGGTAAATACCAAATGAGTTGTTCCTGGGTTTCTGGCTTTGTGATGCATAGCATGGGGTCTTTTAACAATGGATAAAATGTTCCTTTTCCCCCCAAAGCTGCGGATTTTTGAGAGAAGAGTTCCTGTACCAGAAATGTTGCTTTGCCTGAAGTATGTATGCTGCAACTGTTTGCTCAGTGGGTTTTGTTTCATTAAGTTATATAATGGCTTCAGTTAGTATTGTGCTCAGGTACCCAGTCGCAAGCAACTGTAATTGAATGGTGTGCTTGTTTAAAAAAGGCTTGTGGTTTTTTTTTTTTGTTTGTTTTAAGGCTTGTCTTTTTTAAGCTTTTTAAAGCTTTTTTAAGGCTTGTCTTTTTTAATTAAGGCTTGTCTTTTTTGGTCCAGAACCCCTCCCCGCAAATGGTGCTTCCCCCCCCCCAGGGTTCTCAATCCAGACCCTCTCCTTTTGTGCCTAGAACCCCACAGAAAAGGTGTTTGGTGGGGCTCTCAAGCCAGACCTCCTCTTTTCCATTCTAGAGCACACCCCCACCCCCGCCCTGGGGTGTTTTAGAGGGATCTCGAGCTGTGCTTTACCCGCTTGCTGCTTGTAGCCAGCGGAATCCGAGAGGCCAAGTAACCCCTGAGTTACTCACAGTGGCTTCTATGTGTTTGGGCAGGGTTGCCACAAGACAGAAAGAAGCACGTCTTTATTCAACAAGTAATTAGATTGTGGGGTTTATTTCCGGTGGAGATCGTGATGGCCGGGAACACAGACGGCTTTTAAAGGGGGTGGAGGGTGCTAGGGAGGCATCCACGGGGCCCACGGGGGGGCTACGTGGCCCTACCTGGAGGCAAGCCCACCTCTGGAGCCCAGCCCCACCCCAGGCTCAGGCAGCATCAGGGGACGGCGTCAGCAGTTGCGGCTTTCGGCGTTCAGCGGGATGAACACGCCCTCCGGGGCTTGCTACCATTTTCACCAGGTACTTTTTAAACTCGGGAGGGAAGCGCTACAAGACGGGCTGAGTACGGCTGGGGAGTGCCGGACAGCTGTGCCTGGGCGAACCGGCCCCTTTAATCCGTCCGAGAAACGTTTCTGAAACGTGCCTCTATCGGGCCAGACTGCCGGTCTGAGCTCTGCCACCCTCAGCGCAGCTTCCAGTGGGCTTTTATGCCCTGCGGTGCCCTCGGCAAGGCATCGCTGCAATTCACAAGACAAATGTGGACAATCACGACCTAATCAGAGGACAAATGTAAAGAGAACTGATCTCAGTAAGTATTGAGGCTCAAATAGGCTGCTAAGCCTCTAATGGATTCCAGGCGTTTGAGCCTGAATACGTATTGAGAATACGTGTCCTATCTGAATGTATTATCTTTCCTGATTTTTTGTAAAGCACTTTATGAGCAAGAGAGCTTTTGTACTACTCTGATATTTCCTGAGGAAGATCCAGTTTTGAAACGTTGTTATATAATCCGGAGACGACGTTGATGACGTATTTTCACACTAGGATTTTCTTATGATTTGAAGGAATTTGTCTATTGTGTCGTAGTGCTTGTTGACCATAATATACAGAAAGCCTTTTCTTTGCAAGTCTTGTTGACCGCTTGATCTGTGGGTCAGACTCTCACGGCTGCTGCAATTCAGCCTTCTAACACATGCCGCCATTTTCTGATTGGAACCAGCCCTCCGTGGGGTATCCATTGTGTGGTGGTGCCCATTCCCTCTTCTCAAAGTTCTAAAAGTGCCCAAAGGCTGGACAGGATGGGGGAGACCTAGTTCTAAACACAGGACGTTGTCCCCCCTGATGCTGTTTCTTGTCAAATGTTATTAAGTCCTCGTCATAATAGTCGTTCCTGCAAGGACCTTGGCGTCCGTCCGTTTCCTCTCCCCTCGCTGTGCAAAACAAACCATCAAACAAACAAACAAACAGACCCCAAATGCAACCAGTTTGGCTTGTAAAACCCATGATAGATGTTTGCAGATTACTGAGGGCACCGTTCATCTAGCCCTGAATAATGTTCACAAAGTAAGATTTCCTGAGGCAGGGAACTGAGCTTCCTAAGCGTAAAATGCTGTTCATGGCTGGGTTTACAAATTGGCTTTAAGTAGTCCTAGAAGAAATTGTATTGGCCAAATGTCAGGGTGCTGCGAATGTCATAACATTTGATTTTCCAAAAGGTTCTTCTGCTCCTGCAATTACGTGATAAGTGGAAATCTCTGCAGCTTTCAAAAACAGCATTAGATTTCGGCTCCTGGTGTCTCTGGGGCAAAAAGCTGAGATGAACCATAAATTAAACTAAAAAAATATTTTACAAGACTGAAATGCATTGAATTATAGAGTCACAGAATCACACAGAGAGTTGGGAGGGGCCACACAGACCCATCCAGTCCGACCCCCGGCCCAAGGCAGGACCAGCCCAAAGCATCCCTGGCAGATATTCCTCCAGCCTCTTCTTGGAAGCTGCTGGTGAAGGGGAGCTGACCCACCTC